TTTCTTCTCACTAGGCACTGATCAAGGTGATTTATTCCAGATGGAAATGTCACAAGTGGGTTTCAGTGCTTCTTATTCACATCAAAAGGTAATGGAGATACTATAACAAAATGTATTGGAATGGGAGCAACATTGAACACCCACACTATCTTGGGAATGCCAATTTAAATTGGAATTTTTTCACACACACCCCTAAAAGTGCTGAACTTAGATTAAGACTGGATCAGTTTGTTTATATTCCATTTCAGAGAAGACTCTGAATAGCTTTTAATCTGCTTATAATAATAACAACATTAAAACCAATACAACGAATAAAGAATAGCAAATCTCCAAGACATTTTTCTTTATTCAGAAAATCTGTAGTTGTGGCACTACCGCCTTTCCAGAATCTTACTTAAAACAGATATGAGACTGGCTAGTAATTATCTAAACAATTAGAAGCCAATCATGACTTCATGTTATCACTGCTTCCCTTAGATGGACCAAAGATATGATTTAGACATAATGGAGCCTGAAGTCTCCCTTATGACATCAGTAATCAGTTTCCATGGTGGTAATATGTACATGGGATTTACAGGCATGTATAAATAATATGATTTAGTAATATACCTGTAAAAATAGTTGTGTAAGCTAGTCTGCCCATGTGATTTAGCCTTTTCAATATTGCATGAGATTAAATTGCCACAGTGATGTGAGAAAAATATGTTAGTCTCTGACACCTGCATCTCTCATTTCAAGAATATCAGTTATGACAGTGGAAGGTATTGCTACTTAGAATAAAGAATGGAGTAAACTTCATAGGATATTATTAGAAGTCTCTGACTTAGACAAAAGTGAGCACTACTCACAATATTTTAACTGCATCACTAGAAGCTATTAATTTAAATATTTCCCTTGATTTGGTTTTCTCTTAAGGAAGTGCTCATGTTGGGTGCTGTTGGAGCCTATGAATGGACTGGAACAGTGGTCCAGAAAAGAGGAGAAAAAGACATTATATTTCCCAATACAACATTTCAAAATGTTTTGCAAAACAGTCAGAACTCCTACTTAGGTAAGAGCACTAATTCAAAAAGCTTCAGTAGAATATTTGTTCAATGTAACTGAACATTTGTAAGTCCTGTTTTGTTCTTTTAAAAGGCAACAAATTAATGACTGAAGTTAAAAATCACTGTCTCAGATAATATTTCCCCATCCCAATTTCCCAGGGA